AGGCTTGGAACGCCGTTGCCAAGCTTTTGATCATGATGTACACTTTGCTTGTGCATATGTTTTGTATACAAATTATGTTATACAGTTATGTATCATTATGTGTAAATTAACAAATTATATGTGTACATGTTGTTCATATAGATGCACAACTCATTGGACCATTGATATTTTTGTATATGCTTCGCTAGCCTCGATTATTTTTGATTGTACAGGAAGGCCTTTGGAATCTTGAATTATGGCCATTACGACGCCAAACTTTAGCGACATGTTTGGGTCGTGACAGTTATGGTAGCTAAGATTTTTTGAACCAATAATAGTCCTATTTAGTAAAACTATGAATATTATAAAATTTCTCAATTTTTAAAACTAAGAATATTATCAATTTTGCATAGTAAATATTCTAGATATTGATTTCACCAACTGATGAAAAAAAATAAAGCATGAGATTAAACATTTTTGCCCTTTTACTTATTGGTTTTGATTCAACTATCAATAAAACCAAAAATATTATCAGTTTTTTTTTTTAGTTTTAAAACTGAAACATTATAGTTTTTTCAATTATAATTTTTTTTTTATTTTGCACACAATGTCTATCACCATGCTCTTTATAAACACAAAAATTTAGTTTTGCACAAAAATAATTCATCTTTTTTCAAATTTTTTTTTAAAAAAAGCTTGTTTGGTTCTAAATTTAAAACAGTTTTTCAGAAAAATTCTACTTTTTTATTTTCCGTATTTTAATGTTTTCAATGTTTTTTTAATATTTTAAGCAATTTTTTTTAAAAAAAAAAATTAGACACACCTAACATAAATACACTTAAAATGGATAATATTGTGTTTTTTTTAAAAAATACACTAAATAGCAAAAAAATACAAAAAAAAAAATTGAAAATTGAGTACATTTCTCGTATTTTTGTGTATTTATTAATTTTTTAAAATATGAGAGGGGTTTGACGGTGTATCCCGACCTGAGTGTGAGATACCGAGACCGTTTGTTTGTACCGGAGTCTTGCCGAGAGGAAGTACTCCGAGAGTTTCACCATTTAGGTGTGTCTAATTTTTTTTTTTAAAAAAAAATTGTTTAAAATATTAAAAAAAACATTGAAACATTAAAATACGGAAAATAAAAAAGTAGGATTTTTCTGAAAACTGTTTTCTAAAAATTAGAACCAAACAAGCTTTTTTTAAAAAAAAAAATTGAAAAAAGATGAATTATGTTTTTGTGCAAAACTAAAATTTTTGTGTTTATAAATGAGCATGGTGATAGAACATTGATGTGCAAAATTGAAAAAAAAAATTTAATTGAAAAAACTGATAATGTTCTCAGTTTTAAAACTGAAAAAAAAAACTGATAATATTTTTGGTTTTATTAGATAGTTGAATCAAAACCAATAAGTAAAAGGGCAAAAATGTTTAATCTCATGCTTTATTTTTTTTCATCAGTTGGTGAAACAATTATTTAGAATATTACTATGCAAAATTGATAATATTCTTAGTTTTAAAAATTGGGAAAATTTTATAATATTCATAGTTTTACTAAATAGGACTTATTATTGGTTCAAAAAATCTTAGCTACCATAACTGTCACGACCCAAACATGTTGCTAAAAGTTTGGCGTCGTAACTGGCCAATAATTCAAGATTACCAAAGGCCTTCCTGTACAATAAAAAATAATCGAGGCTAGCAGAAGCAATATACAAAAATATCAATGGTCCAATGAGTTGTGCATCTATATGAACAAACATGTACACATATAATTGTTAATTTACCGACATAATGATACATAACTTATAACATAATATTGTATACAAAACATATGCACAAGCTTAAAGTGTACATCATGATCAAAAGCTTAGCAGCGGCGTTCCAAGCCTAGCCCAACTCGAAGGCACACAAAACAACTCGATAGGCTTCAAAATGGTGGCTCGACTAAAAACCCTTTCTAGACCTGTCCTCCAGAATGCTCACCTATACATATATATAAAAACAGTGAGTTAAAACCCAGTGAATAACATTAAAGTAAAGAGGTTAGTGAACGAATTCCAAATCATATCATATATAGAAAACCGATCATACATATCTATCACATCAGTCTCATATCTGAATATAATAATGGTACGTCCAATAGAATATATTACATATCGTCTTCTAACTAGAGTAATCGGTTCTAGATACCGATTAAACACATATGACCACAATGAAGTGGCTAATGAGATCACGTAATCACATATGTGTCATAGATTCGCATTAATATGTTGTCCTCCATGACTTGGGACCATTCTTTGGATGCCACAATAGATTCAAAAAATAGAACATTCGTTCACATTCAACTAACATTTCAGAAAACATAATATATCAAATAGCATTGCAAATATCTTCCATATGAACATATCTTTACAATAATGTTACTCACAGTAGGATTCCAAAACCAATTGTTCAGTCTTCGAGTCTTGACCTACAAACATAAACATTCATAGCACAATTTCTCAATACACATTCGAGTCATTCAATTGATTCTTAACCTTATTCGGTTATCTGTTACTTGTTCGTTCAGTTACTTCTATTATTCTTTTAATTTCTCTTATGCTTATGAGATGCTTATGGATGTAAATTACAAGTGAAACTATGTAACTGAAGGCCCGAAAGTCAGAAAAACAAAAAGGAAACAAAACCAGAAAAACTGTCCTATTGGCCGCATGTGCGGTGGCCTGGCCACATGAGCAGTGATTTCATAATGCTATTTTGGGCAAAAGAGGTCCGGCTGCTCGAGCGGTCTAGGTGTAAAACCAATCCGAAAATCTGCTTTTTAATAAAACCTCATTCTTTTGTAAAATCAACCTCAATTTCAAGCAAACCAAGGCCTAAAACTCTTAAAAACATGTTGAATTAACCGTGTCGAACTTTAAACTCAAACCATAACTTCAAATCAAAACCAAGGTTCCAAGTAAAAGATTAAAACTTTGAATTTTAAGGGCAAAATCAAGAATCCATGCAAGAAAGCAAGTGTATGAACAAGAAGTTCATGAGCTCATGCCATGAATGCCAAAATATTGAGCTATTACTTCTCTTTTTCTCCTCGATGTTCATAGATGTGCATAAATCTTCCTAGGAACCCTTAAATAACCATGAATTCATCCTATCTCAACTTAATGTTCATGAGTTCATGTATGTCCTAGCTTCATGTCAAGAAATTAGAAGGAAATTCTTACCTTTGAGTGTTGATCTTAAAGATTGTTTGATTTCCCCCTTTTGTTCTTCTTCTTCTCTTTCTTCCTTCTAAGTCTCTCTCTCTCTCTCTCTCTCAGATTTTCCTTCTTTTGTTGAGTCTAAGACTAAGGCCCATATAGATATTTATATATAATTGTATAAATGATGAGCCAAACATAACTTAGCGAATTAGACGAAATTAATTGATTTTCCTTCTTTTGTTGAGTCTAAGACTAAGGTCGATATAGATATTTATATATAATTGTATAAATGATGAGCCAAACACAACTTAGCGAATTAGACGAAATTAATTTTCAATTAAACTTTTCAAAGGGCGCTAAAAATTCCCATTAGCATATTTATGTACTCAATTTCAGTTTCTGAACCCATCAAGGTCATCAATTTCAGTTCCAAAGTCGTAGCCCCAACAGATATTTTTCCTAATTCAGACATATATTTTCAAATTAAATCATATTAATTTATAATTATATAACAATCATCGTGACACGCATTTTTTGGACCATTATAATAACATTTGTAAATAGAACTTTTAGGTAATTAACTTTTTTTTTTCATATTTTAATTAATTTTATTTAAGTTTTTAGATAAGACACACATACAAAATAAAATATATGTGAAGCAATTTGAAGAAAAAATAGTGCACCTAAGAATAAAAAATATTTATTAAAAATTTGAAAAAAAAATTGGATATCTAAATTAAAAAAAAAATCAACTAATATATATTTTTTTAAAATTTTCATTCAAGGTAAAAAGAACACAAAAAAAAAATGAAAAATTACAACAACAACAAAAAAATCTCAGTATTTAACCGTTGTAATAAAATAAACGATAAGTTTTTAATTTTATTAATTTAAATTTTAAATTTTTGATTTATTTTTGATGTAAATCGTTTATCTATTTTCATCAAAATCGATAGAAAAATAGGTATCTTAACAACCAAAGTCAATAGAAAGTAATATTATAAATATTTTTTTGTATATCTACATTGAGTTTAATAACTAAAATATTTTTTTTTTGTTGTTAATTTTACTCAATAAAAAGGGGGATTTTTTTTTAAGGTCCCTGGTATTACTATTTTATAGCATAAATGACATACAATATTTTTATAATGTCTAAGGTCTCTCAACATCTCTGGATCTCCAGAGAAATTCTATGCCTTTCCCTGGGAAATTCTTTGCCCAGAGAAATTCTCTAGAGAAATTCTATGCGTTTCCCAGATAAATTCTTTGCCCAAAGAAATTCTAAACCAGATAAATTGATGCTATTATGACTAATTAAAGAAACCAAATCTAGTAACATTATTACTCAATCAATAAAAAACTCTAATAACTAGAAACTCATCATCCAATAAACACTAACCTACACGAATCTAACAAGAAAAAACCAACACTTGGGAGGGTTCAGACACAAGAAAAAACAACACTTGACAGCCAATCAAGAAATCAATCCAATCAACGAAACAAATAATCACAGAGAAATTCTTATGAATTTCTCTATGATTATTTGTTTACTTCTGTAGAATCCTTTCTCTGTGAAACCAGAGAAAATTCAAAACCATGTACCAAAGAAAATTGAAACCAGAGAAAATTCCAAATCCTTTACCAATCAAATCCTTTATTAGTTGAATAGAAGAGAAAGAATGAGAAGTGTAATATATATACTAATAGTACACAACCAAAGTAAAGTGCTCACCACTGATCCAACAAGGTTCTGGTTGATAAGTGAAAATGAATCACAATCAATGTATGATGAAAATATGTGAATCACAATCAATGAATCACTCCTCCACCGTTGACACCTCACGTCCTTTCACCTTCGTCAAAGAAGCTATTACCATCTTCGGCAAAAAGCTTCTTACTGGCGAACTCTACTCATCTCTGAAGCCATTCTCAGCTCCCAAACAATGGAACTTTTCCCCCACAAAAACCCAAGAGAGTGACGACGAAGAGCAAAAAACCTTAGCAGAAACCCTAAACAAACTTGAATTGGAGCTCAAAAAGACAAAGACGGAGCTGAAGCTTTTGAAGGAAAGAGAGTCGGAGACCAAGGTGGCTCTCGTTTCGCTCAACGCAGAGCTTCACAAGAACATGTCGAAGATGGTGAAAGTCGAGGCGGCTACTCCAGGAAATGCGGCGGCAGAGGCGGTGGCGAGGACGAAAAGTACGAGGAAGGAGGAGGAAGTGAGGAAGAGGGACATGATTGTGAGAATGAGAGAGGATAAGCCAACTTTGGCTCAAATTTTGAGTAATGGTGATGAGGAAGGCTTGTTTTGAGGAAGAGAAAATGGGAGGAACATGATGACGGTGAAGAATGAGAATTTCTTTAGGGTTTTGAACTGGTAGATGAGATCGATGAGAGAGAGAGAGAGAGAAGAGCAGCGGGAGAGAGAGATAGAGAGCGTGAGATATATCAAATTTCTCTGTGATAAATGGGTGTGGGTTAAGGGACCTTAAAGCATCTCTAACCATTGTTGCTATAATGCCATTGCTATTGCTATAATTTGGCAATGAATACTGCTATTTTGCCAAATTATAGCAATAGTACTCCAATGGCCATTTGTTATTTTGGCAAATCTCGACCAACTTTTCATCCAAATTTGTAAGTGTTGTTTGGATATAAGTTTTTTTTGTGATTTTATTTTTGTTTATTTTTTTATCTTTTGTGACATTTTTTTACCTATTTGTAAAAAAAATTATATATTTATATTATTCTCAACTAGACAAATATAAAAAAGAAGAAAAAATGAAAAATTGGAAAAAAAATAAAATAATTCACCCAACCAAAAAACATATCACTACATATTTAATAATTTTTTTGAACTACACATAAAAAATAAACAATCACCAATTACCCACCAACAATCATTCATCATTCACCCATCATTCATTCACCAACAACCATCCATTTTTAACCCAGCATTCATTCACCAACAACTACCCACCCAATAACCATCCATTATTCATCCACCCACCCAACAACCATCCATCATTCACCCATCCATAATTTTCTCTATAAATATAATATAAGGTTTTCTACAATTGTCATATTCACCTACCCATCATTTTCATATCTTCTAAACTCTCTGTACCCGTCTAGAAGATTTTCTACAATTTTCATATTCACCCACTCACCTATCCACGTACAATGAACAATTTAACTAAAGCCATATTCAATGGAGATTTTGATGAATTTTCATCATCTGATGATGATATCATCATGATGCAACTGTTTACAGCGCAACAACATAGAATACAAGTGTTAAGCCTAAACTAACCAACCAGACGTGTTGATTCCACAAGTGGTCGTTGATACATTAATCGTGAGAAGGTCAAAGGTGACGAACAAATTTATAGAGATTATTTGCAGATAATTCTGTCTATCTAGAAGAATACTTCAGAAGACGTTTTCAAATGAGGCAGTCATTGTTTGTTAGTATCTTACATGATATTCAACAAGTGAATGAGTACTTCATCCAAACCCGCAATGCCACTGGTGCTCCTGGATTATCCGGTGTATAGAAGATGACTGTAGCACTTCGGATCCTGCAATACGGCGTGCCTGTTGATGTTGTAGACAAGTAAATTAGAATTGGCGAAAGTACTACAATTGCCGCCTTGAATTTTACCAGATCAATTGTTGTTACCTATTACTTAAGATCCCCAAATGAAGTAGATGTTGCCAGATTATTGCAAGAAGGAGAGCAATGCAGGTTTCCTAGAATGTTAGGTAGTTTGGATTGTATGCACTGGCATTGGGATAAATGTCCAACTGCCCAAGCTGGTGCTTACATTGGACACTACCACAAATCAACAGTTGTACTCGAGGTAGTTGCCTCCTATGACTTGTGGATTTGGCATGCCTTCTTTGGCATGCCTGGCTCTCTAAATTATATTACTGTTCTTGATAGGTCGCCTTTATTTGCTGAATTAACTAGAGGATGTGCCCCTACTGCCAACTACACCATCAATAATCACGCGTACACCATGAGGTATTATCTTGTTAATGGTATCTATCATCGTTGGGCAACGATTGTGAAAACAATATCTCAATCTCAAGGCGCAAAGAGACAACTATTTGCGAGGACGCAAGAGGCATGTCGGAAGGATGTTGAAAGGGCATTTGGATGCTCCAAGCACGATTTAATATTGTCAGAGTTCCAACTAAAGGTTGAGGTGATGAGGATATGTACTACATCATGAAGAAGTGTATTATTTTGCACAATATGATCATTGAAGACGAGCATAATATTCTAGAAAATGAATGCAGTGTAGCATAACTTAAGACTGATACCAGTAATACCCGTTGTCAAGCGTCACGAGATCCGAATGAGGAGTATGCTCAATTTATGTTGAATCAACAGAGGATTAGATCTACTAAAGCCCATAATGCAATTCGTAATGATTTAATTGAACACTAGTGGTTCCGAGCTGGACAGTTAGATTAAGTTTGTATTTTATCTTTTTAATGACAGTTAATGTCATTTAATGTCAGTTAATGTCTTTTTATTATAATAAAATTATCTTCATTTAATGTCAGTAATGTATTTTATCTTTTTATTGCCTTCATTTGAAAAAATATATTTATTTTTTTCATTATACTTTATTGAAAAATTTAAATTATACTAAAAATTAGTCAACATTATACATTGCAAAAATAAATATTACATTGTTTTGTAGAAATACTCAAAAAAAAAAAAAAAAAAAAAACATGAAATTTCATTACAAAATAAAAAATGACATTACAAATAAAGACTAACAATTACATCAAAAATTAAATGATATTGCAAAATTTAAAAATACATTATCCTGTAATAATTCGTCAGGAGGTAGGAGGAAATAAAAATTTGGGTTGCTCACATTTGAGGACCACTTGGCCAAAATCTCATTTTTTCGCATTGTGTAATACGCTTTCATTTGATGGTCTAAATGAGAAATATCCGTAGTCATTATTATATGTTCTTCCTTTTTCATCTCAAAGTCATGTTTTTTTTTTTTTTTTTTTTTTTTCTCTTTCCTCTTTTTTCTTTTATTTCTCAGCAAGGTGTTGGTTAAATGTCTCCAATTGTATGCTCATTTTTTGGACTTCAATTTCAATGACTTGATTTCTCCGAAATAATTTTTTTGTAGCTTTCCTACCCATAGGCCTTTTACCCATTACAGAGACACTGCCCTCACCAACAGTTGGATTGTTACCAGCACTTGGATTGTTGTCGTCTTTAAGAGAAACCCAGTCATCCATAAGGGAATCGGGGGCTGAATTAGGGGTAAACGCTGTATGCATCCTTGACTTTACCGTATTCATATGAGCTACATCTTACCACCTGATATTGTCTTGCAAGATTGATCAACAATGTTCAAAAGCAAATTGTTTGCTTTCATCTTGATGGTATAACAGTTTTGTTTGAAGCATCTGTATCAAAAAAATTGAAACATTATTTAATTAGTTAATTTTTATATGATACTAGAATAAGAAACTAAATATAATAACTAAAGATGAAAAGTTACTATATCAACTTGAGAAATCCCATTTGGGTGAAGATTTTCGACTTGCGCTAAACACCCTCGAAATTTGGTACAACATTTCATGATTATACCCCATCGAGATTGAATAGACACTTATGTTTTGAACTGATCATTTTGAAGCAATCAATAATTTTCGTAAATTCTTCCCCAAAAGTGAGCATACAATTGTGAATTGCCAATAATTGGGTCTTCTGAAATGTGACACTAAGATTTACAAATTGTCATATCTTCTTCAATAATGAATGATTTTCCTCTCTTTGTTTTTGATGAACCTTTCACAGTGATTAGATAAAAAAAAACTAAAAAGAAAATAATTTTAGAGGTTTGTTGTGAAATCAAATTCAGAGAAGAGATGAGAAAAGAAAAATTAAATCCAAATGTTTGTGTGAAATAAAATTGACATGGAGGGTTTCAATTTATAGAAATTCAAAATATTACTGTTTGGGGGAAATAGCCGTTTGAAGATAGCTGTTGTAAAAAAAAAATTAATGTTTTTGTTTTTGTTTTCTTGTTTGTTTGTTTTTTCTTAAAACCAAATAGAGCAGAACGACTCTTTTTATACAGAATGAGAGCATCTCCACTGTCCACGTATAAAACTTCAACGGTTGATATGCACTGTCTAGAATTATCTACCCTCCCTTCGACTGATGTGCATCGTCTTCCTCTCCCTCTCACTTGTCTTCCCTCTCCTCAAGCCACTCTCCCTTCTTCTCCTCCATGATCGAAACCTCTCTCTCTATTTTCACTCTATCTTCCCTCTCACTCTGTCTCCTTCTCTCTCACTCTGTCTTCCCCATCTCTCCGTTTTCACTCTTCCTCTCCCTCTCTCTGTCTTCCCTCTCCTCAAACCAGTCCATTTTCCTCCTCTATGATCGAAACGTCTCTTTTCTCTCTCTCTCTCTCTCTCTCTCTCTCTCTCTCTCTACCTATGAAGCTGTTTTCGCTCTCTCTCTCACTCTCTTACTCTCCTCCATCATCCAAACGTCTCTCTCTGTCTGTGTCTCTGTCCTTGAGCTCAAGTCTTCACCGATTTTTGTACTCTCCGATCTGTCTACTCTCTTCTCTCTCTCTCTCTCTCTGCCCTTGGTTCCAAGTCTTCACCTTTACACAATCGCCTCTCATTTCCTCTCTCTCTCTCTATCTCTGGTACGATCTCCATTTATACACTCTCATATATATATATATATATACTTTGATTTTTTTTCTTTATTTTCTGGTCATTGATATGGATCTGAGGTGATCGCGATTTTTGAAACTCAAATTTGGCGATGGATTCAAACCGGATCTTCAAAGAACTCAAGCATCTCTAGAAGGATCTTCAAAGAACACAATCTGGTATGTTTGCTAAAATTTTCTTAATTATTTATTTTGATTTTTGGTTTAATTTTTTTTCATCCATTTGATTTGGTTTGGTTTATTGTGAATGCATACCATCTGATTTGGATCGAATGATTTGGTGATAAATGACCGAATTTGGTTTTGTCAAATTCATTCTGAAATTTGTTAATTTGGCAACAAAATAGAAAATTGGGTTTGATTCTGAAAATTGGGCTTAATTCTGATTTTTTTGGGTTTCTTACTATTTCAATTCTGTTTTTTTCAATTGAATTTGGTTCCCTAAAATTCTAATCAGTCCAAAAATCTGTTGATATTTGCTGATCTGGCAAGTTTGGGAGCTGCTATTCAACTTGCCAAATTTGGAAATAGATATGGCATCTGCTATCTTTTGCAAGTAGAATAGCAGGCCATTAAAGACCCTCTTTTTGCCATTCTTGTCAAATTTTAGCTCGGGCAAGTTGAATAGCAGCTCCATTGGAGATGCTCTTAGATATCAAAAAATAATATTGTAGATTTCTTCCATTATTAAAAATAGGAAATGGACTTTAGACTACTTTTTCCGAATAAAAATAGGCATAATGGATTTTTTTTAAGAGGCTCAACTTATGAGGCTTTTTTTTTTTTTTTTTTTGCCCAAAAAAAAAATGCCTTTTGGTCTATGTTAGAGAATCTCCAATCATTCATTAAATTTAATGAAAAATTTGATATGATATATTACACTTCAATGGTAAATTAAGATTTTTATCAAATCTAACCAGTCATTCGACCTAAAGTAAATTTTCGATTTATAAGGTCAAAATCTATTGTCCGATGAGTTGTCCACCACCAATGGCTAACTATAAAATTTGATGAAAAACTTTCTTAATTTGACTAAAAATATACCTCTTTTTATTTGATATTAGCTTAATGAAACGATTAGAACATGATTTGTGATATAAAAAAAAATTTAAAATTTAAATTTAATGAAATATATGAATCTTTACTAAGGGGTTGTTTGGGATGTCCTAAATAAGTGTATTTTTTGACTTTTTAGACTAAAAATTGAGGGAAAAAATATGGTTGTTTTGGTTAACTTTTAAATTTTTTATGAAAAAATGTATATTAAAAAATTGTATAAATTAGTGTGTAGGAAAAAATTAGGATTGAGAGTTGTGCAACCGTACTTTTTGACTTTTGGTAAATAGTGATAACTTTTTAATTTTTTGAGTAATTTTTTGATTTTTTGGGTACATGCCAAACTTGGCCTGAATTTGCACAAAGAAGCTTGGAAAGTGTGAACTCATTAACATGTGTGAGAAATACAAAATAATTTTACAAAATGTGATACAAATATAAGGTAAATAAATCTCATGCGTATGGGTGTTTTGGAAAGATGGTTAAAAGTTACTTTTTGATTTTTATGATTATTTTGTGAGAGAAGGAAGTGAGTTAAAAACTGAGAAGTGACTTTTAACCCACCTTCCAAAATAAGCCGTAGATTGAAACACGTGAGTCGCATTTCTTTTAGGGTGAATTACACTAATGGTCCATATAGTTTGGGACTTGTGTCATTTTGGTCTCTGACTTTTCAATTGTGACGCATTTAACCCTGAATTTTGAATCTTACTCCAAATAAGGACAATTGTAGATACTATTGGATTTTTCAATGGCAAAATCGTCAATTTGATAAAATATAAATTAATTTGACAAAAATAAATGTCAAAAAATTATTTTTGAATTTTTAAAAATTATTTCTAACTACTAAAGATAAAATTATATAAAATTGATAAATCTTTTAGACATTTATTTTTTTTTACCAAATTAATTTCTATTATGTATTTGGATAATGATCATGTAATGAATGATTGTTAAAATTTTAATGTGTAATTGATATACAGTATTTAATATATAAAATATTTTTAGTTTTGGATTTTTTGATTTAATAGATTAATTTAATAATGATATAAAAGTTGTTGTCATATTTGACTTTTGAAAAAATAAAAACTAATTTAATGAAAATAAAAATAAGCACCCATTATATGATCATCATCCAAAAACATAATAAAAATTAATTTGGTAAAAAAAAATTAAATGTGTAAAAGATTTATCAATTTTACATAATTTTATCTTTGGTGAGTATAAATAATTTTTTTTAAATTCAAAAATATCTTTTTGACATTTATTTTTATGAAATTAGTTTATATTTTATCAAATTGACTATTTTGCTCTTGAAATTAATCCATAGTATCTTCAATTATTCTTATTTGGAACAAAATTTAAAATTCAGGACCAAATATGTTAGAATTAAAAAGTCAGAGACTAAAGTAACACAATCCCTAAATTATAAGGACTTTTTATTT